ATAGAGATGCAAGACAGTGACAGCAGGGAGGTATAGTCAGAGTGGCAAAAAAAGGTGGTCTTGATAGTTCCATTTTGAATGGGCTCCATGGGGAGAGTTGAAAAGCTGCTGTAATAGTCGAAGTGGGACATGACCAGAGAATGGACTGCCAAAATGGGTAAGGAAGAGAATTATTTTGGGGAGATATTGTTGAACAGGAAGAAGATCTCAAAGGTGGCACCATGGACTGTGCATGGGTGAATGATGAGGAAACAAGGTGGTGTTGATAATGATGATGGGGTGGGAAAGAGAATGTGCTGAGCTTCCTTAACTTGGAATATATGGCATTAAAATACAGGAATATGAACAAATATAATAGAGAACAAAACTCTGCAAATTGGGGTAAATGTTTGCAGAAATTGTATCACTGGTGATGGGCACTTCATTCCCTGACACTGTAGAAATTGAGATGTTTCTTTTTGGGTTCTAATGGATTTGGAGACTTCTCTTGTTCTGTGGCAATCCAGATGAATTTCTGGAGTGTGATTCACGATGCAGATGGCCAGCAGTGTTCAAACTATACTGCCTGAGTTCTTGAGGAGTTTGTATCGTACAAATTTGTAAGAGTCCTCTCTCAATTACAAGGCCCAGTTCTGAAATCTGATCTCTGTTACCCTTATGGTTTTGTGTACCAGGTGTGTGGCAATGCGCTCATGAAACACTACCAGGTCCAGTTCTGGAAGATGCTGCTACTTATCAGAGAAGACTATTTTCACAGGTATGACACTTATATATATAAACCTTATACAAAGAAACTTCTGTCTGTTTTTTTCAGAATTAGGAGCATTTCCTTTTAGATCTATGTTCATTAGTGTTCCTGACAGTTGTTTCATCCTCCCCCACTCCAGATTTGTCATGAGCTCTCCCTCATGTAAATAACACAAGGCTGTTTTTCTGTTTGTGTTTTGGAGCTCACTCTTTTTGATCTCCCTGCAGGATTGAAGCAATCACCATTTCTGGACAGATGGGGTCTTTAATGCGGCTTAAGCAATTCTTGGAGGTAAAGCATTCTCTTTAAATTCTTGAAAGTCTCTATTTTTTTCCCCTTTCTTAAAGAGGTATTGTTCAGTCAACAAATCCCATGCTGCCTTCTGATTCCCAAAAGGTCCATGATTATGACTTTTTGATGCATTCTCTGTTCTTATATGGCTTCTTCGTTACTGAGTATGTTCAGTCTTCTTGATGGTTATGACTCCAAAACATCTCCCTTCTCAGCTGCCCCTCTGTCCCCCCAAAAAAGTTGTAATGGATGTGATTCTCAGTGGAAATTCTTTCAGTTATAAATGGATTACTGATACTGCAGTGAGAGGAGACCTCCAGGTTCAAGATCTATGGCTCCACTAATTCATTGTATTTCATAGCAACTATCTTTCTTCAGACACATGCATGTTCACATAGTGTCTTCTGTACAGACTAGATACCATATGAGCAAATAAGTTTAATAACTGGTAATCTCCTTCAGAGTAGACTTTTGAACTACTGTTCACACAACTGCATTTAGGCATCCTTTTGCATAGGCATCCTTTTGAAGAAATATTTTGCAAAGATGTAAAATATACTTTATTTTGAAAGTGTCTTGCAAATATTTATTAGTTTTAATAAATATGAAGCTAGGAGACACAGGAGTTTGTGCTTTTCTTACTTAAAAACAAAGGAGCACTCAAGGACGAAAAGGCCATTGCGGAGAAACTAAATGAATTCTTTGCATCGGTCTTCACGGCTGAGGATGTGAGGGAGATTCCCAAACCGAGCCATTCTTTTTAGGTGACAGAACTGAGGAACTGTCCCAGATTGAGGTGTTGTTAGAGGAGGTTTTGGAACAAATTGATAAACTAAACAGTAATAAGTCACCAGGACCAGATGGTATTCACCCAAGAGTTCTGAAGAAACTCAAATGTGAAATTAACGGTAGTCTGTAACCTATCATTTAAATCAGCTTCTGTACCAGATGACTGGAGGATAGCCAATGTGACGCCAATTGTTAAAAAGGACTCCAGAGGTGATCCCGTCAATTACAGGCTTGTAAGCCTGACTTCAGTACCAGGCAAACTGGTTGAAACTATAATAAAGAACAATATTGTCCGACATATAGATGAACATAATTTGTTGAGGAAGAGTCAGCATGGTTTTAGTAAAGGGAAATCATGCCTCACCAATCTACTAGAATTCTTTGAGGAGGTCCACAAGCATGTGGACAAAGGGGATCCAGTGGATATAGTGTACTTAGATTTTCAGAAAGCCTTTGACAAGGTCCCTCACCAAAGGCTCTTAAGCAGAGTAAGCTGTCATGGGATAAGAGGAAAGGTCCTCTCATGGATTGGTAACTGGTTTAAAGATAGGAAACAAAGTGTAGGAATAAATGGTCAGTTTTCAGAATGGAGAGAGATAAATAGTGGTGTCTCCTAAGGATCTGTACTGGGACCAGTCCTATTCAACATATTCATAAATGATCTGGAAAAAGGGGTAAACAGTGAGGTGGCAAAATTTGCAGATGATACAAAACTACTCAAGATAGTTAAGTCCCAGGCAGACTGGGAAGAGCTACAAAAGGATCTCTCAAAACTTGGTGACTGGGCAACAAAATGGCAGATGAAATTCAGTGTTGAGAAATGCAAAGTAATGCACATTGGAAAACAATCCCAACTATACGTATAAAATAACGGTGTCTAAATTAGCTGTTACCACTCAAGAAAGATCTTTGAGTCATTGTGGATAGTTCTCTGAAAACATCCACTCAATGTGCTGCGCCAGTCAAAAAAGCAAGCAGAATGTTGGGAATCATTAAGAAAGGGATAGATAATAAGGCAGAAAATATCATATTGCCTCTATATAAATCCATGGTATGCCCATATCTTGAATACTGCATGCAGATGTGGTCGTCTCATCTCAAAAAAGATATATTGGAATTGGAAAAGGTTCAGAAAAGGGCAACAAAAATGATTAGGGGTCTGGAACGGCTTCTGTATGAGGCGAGATTAATAAGACTAAGACTTTTCAGTTTGGAAAAGAGACGGCTAAGGGGGGATATGATTGAGGTCTATAAAATCATGACTGGTGTGGAGAAAGTAAATAGGGAAGTGTTATTTACTCCTCAGAACAAAAGAACTAGGGGTCACCAAATGAAATTAATGGGCAGCAGGTTTAAAACAAACAAAAGGAAATATTTCTTCACACAACGCACAGTCAACCTGTGGAACTCTTTGCCAGAGGATGTTGTGAAGGCCAAGACTATAACAGGGTTCCAAAAAGAACTAGATAAATTCATGGAGGATAGGTCCATCAATGGCTATTAGCCAGGATGAGCAGGGATGGTGTCCCTAGCCTCTGTTTGCCAGAAGCTGGGGATGAGAGACAGGGAATGGATCACTTGATGATTACTTGTTCGTTCCCTCTGGGGCACCTGGCATTGGCCACTGTCTGAAGATAAGATAGTGGGCTAGATGGACCTTTGGTTTGACCCAGTATGGCCGTTCTTATGTTGCTATCAACTCTAAAAGTTAATGTTTAGGAATGGATACAGCAAGAGTTTCTCAGACAAAAATGTTGTGAAAATAAATATTTCTTAAATTGGAGATGGATTCCTTGCTAGATTCTTGGGCTTTCTATGTCTGTGGGTTCATTCAAAAATATTTTTTTTTCTCTTAACTTGAAATGTCATTTCTTTAATTTAAATTAATATATAAACCAAGTAAATGAAATACTATCGATTTAAAAAAAAAAAAAAAAAAAAAAAAAAAAAAAAAATAAATAATATATGTTGAAGGCTTGTTACAGGTTGTTCAAAATGAGTCGGAGTTCATTAAAATTATTGGATTATTTAGAGGTCTTGTGCATTCAGTATTCTTGATTTTTTTTCTTTAAACCGTTAATTTTCACTGTTTAGTGAGTAGAACATGGATCTAGGCCCTTATTGATTTGTTCTCATTCAGTGGTCAATTTGAGGCAGCCAAATTTGGTCAAAGACTTGTATCTGTTTTCTTGCTTTTATACCAGGCTTTTTCAGTGGAAGAGTTTCCTGTATAACTTGAGTCCTGTTGGGTGCAGATATTTCCATAATGTAGCCAATCTCTTTTGATTGTTTCGAATTGCTTGCATTGGCTCTAAAATGACTGGGTTTTTGTTTTGTTTTGTTTTTCCTAGAAATGTTTGCAGCGGAAGGAAATTCCTTTACCAAAGGGTTACCTGCCTTCTTCCTTCTGGAGGTCATAAGTCGGTTCCTTCCCATTTTCATCTTCACAAGAATTCAAAGAATTTCCTGACCTTCTTATTACATTCAGGACCAAGAATACATAGAAATGTAAATCTTACATTTGTATTTACCTGGATGCTGTGGATATTTTCAACTGAAACATTTTTACCCATCTTTGATCCTATTTTATGTTGAACAGAATTTGGAGCTTCAGTAACTAACTTGTCTCATGTAACTTATTTTGCAAATTATTTTAAGCCATCTGTTTGCATTTGATTAGCTTTACGGACTCTATTGTGCAGTGTATTATGGAATATGAGAGGCTCCTTCACATCTTGAACAAGTACAGTGAATAAGTGTCAAGTGCATAAACTTGTCTAAATGATCCATTAGACTTCAGAGTTTACTTACAGTAAGCAATGGCTTTCAGGTGGGAATTTTGCTCTGAATTGATCAATCTGTCACAGTTTTACATGAAACTGCAAATAGAAATACCTCACTACTTTAGTCATATTAAGGTCTAAATGTAAGAAATCCTTCTGTAGAACTTTATTTTTGCATTTTATGTGATTAGGTATTTTAAAGTTATTGTTTCATTGTTAACAGCATTGGAGCCCATAGGAAAATTCATTTTGTATCTGGCTGCCTAAAAATCCAAAGCAGCAAAAGAGGTGGTTATGTTAACAAGGCTGATTTGATGTCGGTCAAATGTCACTTTGGTCTTAGAGACAGCATTGATCTCTTCATCTTTCCCCAGGGAAGGTCTTAAAATCACCAGCTCTTTCGTTTTAACTTGGAAATTCTGATTTTTCCTACTGACGCAGCATTCCTTATTTACCTGGGTTAGACTTGATTTTACAGCTACATAGGCAATATGATGGCTGCTGAAGAACAGATCACTGCTTTTTGTTTTGGGGATTTTTTTAAAGGCTTTGCATGTGTGTAATATCTTTACTGTGAGGTTCATGAAACTGCACAGTTCCTTCTATCCATGATCCACCACATGAAATCTAGCTTAGAATTGGTCTGACCTCCCTCCCCCCCCCCCCCCCCAAAAAAAAAGGCTGGTGGAAGGACACTTAACAGCTTTGTGTCTTCTTCAGTACTGATATTGTGCTATCACATGAAGAAATTAGAAGATACAGTCCCCTTGGCTTGTCTAAAGATGAACTGAACTGTGGTATTGACCTATGTAGAAAAAAGCCTTTATGACTTGGGCAGACGTGGATTGTGTTAGTTTTACTGCAGTTTGTGTATAAAGTACTGTAATAGTTTTGTACTAAGATAGTGTAATGGTGAATTATTCTAAGAATGGTTCATTCTAGAATCTTCTTTGAAAAAATGTTAAGTTTTTAAGACTCTTTTTAACCTAAAGCTGATGCAGTTTACTTCTCTCTGTGTGTGCCTGTGATGGTGCCAAGTAAGTTTCTGGGAATCCCTAATGGGTGTCTGTACCAATATGTTATGGGAGGTCAGATTGGGAGGTGATTTTTGACCGTTAGTGGAGTGCACTCTGCCTGAGAGGCCATTGAAGAGGTAGCAGTTACATGCTATATGTTAATATTTCTCCCATTTCTAGTGGACAGCCTTGTAGTGAGAGTTGACAGCTAAAGTGAGTTGGATACCTAATCACTGGGAACTGGGCTGTACACTCATTTTTTGTAGTCCACTTAACAGCCATCAGATGGTAGCCACTTGCTTTCTGTTGACCTGGGCTCTGTTTGAAGTAGTATCCTAGAATCAACTAGACCTCTCCTCTTTTTCTCCCTCTCCCTTTGTATATTTGATGAAGACCCTTTAATTCAGAAATAGTTCAGATAAAGGTTGTTCTAGCAAAATTAATAGCATTTTACATTTTCATGTTTTATTGGCATTTTTTGTCACCGAGACCTCCAAAAATGTTTATAGTCTTTAGTGAAGAGCAAGTTTTGAGAGAGAGGAAATTAAATGAAAATAAGTAAAAACTCAGACAAGAACATGATTGTATGTATTTGAGAAATGACCATTGAGGCAAAGTGTTTCACAAAACACTGCCACAAACACTATTTAAGCAATATTATAACAAGATTTTGAGTATCTATGATGAAGTCATTTACTGATAAAGCTTATGCTATAGTGTTTAATAATATGTATCTGTATATCTTAAATTTTGTATCTTGAACTTTCCCAGGAAGTACATTTTAAAAACACTGTCCTTAATACAAGGAAAAAAAAAAAAAAAAAAAGTCTGATTGCTTGGAGTTGATAATACTGATAGCTGTTCTAGAATGCTATTAAAAGGATACAGGGGGAGATTGTCAAAAGCACAAAGGACAGTTAGGTACTCAAGTCCTATTAGTGCCTTGTAAAATTTATCTCACTGTGCCTATGTTTAGCGAAGCAACCATTCCTATAATGAACAAACTAAAATGTATTTAATTACATCTTGACTATCTAATGCTTACTGTTGTGGCCATCTTGGATAATATTTGTTTGACACTGCAAATATTGAATATTTTGGTTAAATATTACAGATTTTGTGTAAGTTCTAGTGTGGATCATGTTTTATGACAATATGCAAGGCAGGAAGCTTTGTGTATAAAGTACTGTAATAGTTTTGTACTAAGATAGTGTAATGGTGAATTATTTTAAGAATGGTTTGTGTATATTAGGGATATTGATGAAGGTGCATGGTTTTTATAAATACTATAAGGATGTTGAGCTTTTCTGCCCCACTTATGAAAGACTGTTGCAATGGATTGCCATGATGTTTTGAAACTATATTTAAATGTAGCAATAAATTTATTTTTTAAAATGCTTCCACTTAATGTATTTGCATAACCAAAATGTAATCTATACCACCTTTCCAAGGGTAGTTCATAATTGTATCTAATGGTGTCTAATGTAAGTGAAGTCTCATTTTTTGTTGCAACTGTTTTTTCCCATTTGTCAATTTGAGTGTTGGCCATCTTGCTGTACCAGGGTATTTAAAGATCTTCTCAATGCAGAATGTAATATAATGTATTTAAATAATCCCAAATGCATTTAAAGGATTTGTTTCAAGTATGTATGTGTCACATTCATTTCAAATACAGTGTAAATGGGAACATCTCAGACATGAAATATTGTTGTACATTAAGGACCTGATCCACTTTAAATTACTATGACTCATGCACTTCCTTAGAGATAATGGTTCCCTTGCAGTCCTATAGGTTCTGATGCAATATCTGTGGAAGATGGATTTTTTCTAATTAATTGCTTTAACAACTTGCACAGGAGCTGAAAGAGAATGTATATTTAATATGCCCGATACACCATAGTTTAGGGGGTATAAATACAGCATCCTAGTGTTCCTATTAAAGAAAGACTTCCTTTTTATGTGTTAGTTTATGCACCATTTTTGTTGTCTAAAAGCAAAAACCTCTTAGCTGTGCAAGCACTCAAATCTTTTGAAAGTGTGATCCTTTGTTATTTTTACCTTGCATATTCCTTTGAGAAAGGAACCATCTACGTGATCTTTAATATTAAATGCAAACTTAAGATGCCTGCTTTTAGTATTACAAAAATCTAAACCTTCCTCAATGTTTTTTATGGTAAATTAAATGTTTTTATGTAAACATTGGGCTCTTTTTTTGCACCTGTATCAGGGAATGCTCCCTGGGCAGCAACCTGAAAGTGACTAGCACGAAACGAATGAAAACAAACCGCTTCCGTGATGGAAACGCGAATGCCAGTTTTACAATTATTTTCAGTTTTTAATCTTTCCTACCAACCCCTAATGCGCTCGGTGTTAATCATGTTCATGTATTCACGTCATTCGGATTAAAGGGCCTAAACTCATCTCGGGTGAGCGCAAACCCGGGCCCCGCTTCAGCGAACACGGAGCCTGTGGGAAGCCGCGGCGCCCCTGCCAAGCCGCTGCAGCCTCCACCCTGCTCCCAGCGGGCCAGCCTCCGCCTGCCTCGCCCAGCCTTTCGACTCTTTCCGGAACCGTTCGGATTTCTCCGTACTGCGGCAGGCGCCTTTGGCTGTTTCCGTGCCCAGGCGCTGAAGGCCGCCTCCTCAGCGGGGTGGGGGCCCTCTCCCTTCGGTTCCGTCCGGAGCCATTCGCCTAGTTCCGTGGCTCGAGACCAGGCTGCGGTGTTTACGTCATATCCGGGCCGGCCTATATAAAGGCTGGAGCTAGGCGCGGCGCGCGGGTAGTCTGTCTGACGGGCGGAGAACTTGGTGCTGCGCTCGCCTCGGTGGACCCTTCACACAGCCTTGGTGAGGAGGGAGCGGGGGGGGGGACTGTCTTCGACGGCCCGGGCGGGCGGCTGGGTGGGCTCTCGCAGAGGCCCTTAGCCTGCGGAGACAGAGCCCCTCCCAGTCCCGGTTGGCCATAGAGGCGTTGCAGGGACAGGTGTAAAGCCCTGAGGTATCCCAGTCTTCCCCCGAGGCTCGCCTTATGGCGACCGGAGGATGGGTGGGGTAGCGGTGGGTGTCCCTTCTGTGCATGCAGAAGCTCACCAGGGAAAGCTCTCCTGCTTAGCGACAGCGCCCCGCATACGTTCTCGTTTCCCTGGGGCTCGCCTAAGCTCGCTCGCTCGCGGCAGCCGAGGGGTCCTTGCTAATGTTCGGTTTCCCAAAGATGGATTTAGAGCTTTGACATTCTCCTCCCAGGCTCGCTTCTTGTCATCGCTACTAACATAGTCTCTGCGGAGAGACGCTCTCCCTGTCTCTCTGGGCTCGCTTGAGTATAGGCGAGCTCAGGGCGGATACGACAGTAGTGTAACGAGTGGGTGCGTTTCTGTTACTCTTTCCTGATGGGTTCGGGGCGGGAAGGAGGTTGTTGGGATGGAGGAACAGACGATTTTTGTATGTGTGTGCGAAAGAGAGCGAGGCGGATCCGCCCTGTGTAGCTCCCAGCAGCAGTAGCAGGAATTTCATTCACTGCCCTGAGGAGCGAATAAACACCCTGATAAATAACCGTGCCAGCAAATCTCCCTCCCCACAAAAAGAGCAGGGGAGAGTTGCATCCCCCCTGAAGCAAGCTTTGCAGCCTAACTACTCCCGCCAGCTTTGGGGGGAAATCTCGAGAGGGAAAAATTGATCACAGAGAGGCTGACTGTTGGTAGTAACCCAGTCAGTGGGTTCATTTCACAGCAATGGCTTCCCTCCCTGAGCCTTCACAAGCCCATCCCCTGTCCAAGGTCAGGAGATGCAGAACAGTGAGGGAGATATTCTGGATTTCTAGGTGGTGGCTGGAAAACTTCTTCCCCAATGTATTTTTTAAATAATCCTGGACTTTTTAACTGTTACACGAGGGGATTTTTTAAATGCTTGATTGAAACACACAGCAAAATCCTTCATCCTAACTGGAAGAGGCTTTTAAATAGCCTTATGTTAATCCCCTAAAATGAATGATTGAGTCTCCTTCCAAATGTGTGACTTTGCAAGACTCCAGATGCTTGACATAAGGGGGGATCATGGCTCATTTTACAAGATAAATCAGGATTTTGGCCTGGCTTTCTCACCTTGTTCCTGCAATCACAGAACACATCATAACATATTTCTGATAAATCAAGGGAATGTCAGCCATGTTTGTTCTGTTTGAATGGAGTTTATCCATGTATAGGTTGGCAGTTTACAAATACTTTAGTAGTGTAATCATTTATGTTAATATTTAAAACACTTATTTTTGTTTGGTATTCCAAGTGTCCATGTGTATGCAACAGTAATATTAGAGTAGCTTTTTCTCTAGTCAGGATTCTTTAATTTCATTTTTCAGTGAATGATTGTACTTTCCAATCCTTTAATCTTAAAATATACATGGCTACTGAGCAATTTGCCACTCAGATTTAAATAGGCTCAGGAAAACAGTTGTGTTGATGTGAAGAATGGGATGCAGAAAAAAGCCCCTGGGAATGGTTCTGTATCTCTGATAAAAATGTGTCCTGAACCAAGAATGCTCCTTAAGGTTTTCTGTCCACACCAAAGTGGTAGAAGATTCTATTGATGTTTTTTTGTGAGAGGCCTTGATCAGAATTTCATACTGGTTCAGAATAAAATGTTCTTTAAAACAAAAAATCACTGGATAGCCTTGTGCATTTTAATGTGATTAACAAATCCGCCTTGCTGTGAAATTTGCATTGAGCTAGCAGTGTGTTTATAAAATGTGTTCCGAAAAGAACGAACAAAAGATTTGAAAACTAGGAGGACTTCTGCAGCATTGTGAAGGGTTCATAAGTGTAGTAATGGAACCACTGGACTGTATCAAAGCATTGAATTAAGAGGTTATAGTGCTCGCATGGGGTAATTTATTTCCATTTCTGTTGCAACAGAAGTCTTGTATTTGGAAAGGTCAAACCAAGGTTCAACAATAAAAAATAATAGATGGTGTGCTTCTGTGAGCTCCATAGTTGGTGAGATTAATAAACACATTTTATTTTAGTTTTAAGTGTGGTATTAACCCCACCCCAGACTAAGCCTTGTTTTACCATCTTTCCCTATGCACAAGCAAGGTAAGAGCAGTCTAAGTCTTTTCAGACAGGGTGGCACCTCTGATTGCGAGTTGTCAATTTTAAAACTATCCCTCTCATCACTTCATGAAAATAATTTTTAAATTCTGCATTGCCTTAATTTTACCTGTGTAATAACGTTGTATGCTATTCATCTATTATATATTTTTGGATAAAATCAGACTCATTCTTGGGGTGTGAATTGCTTGCATGCCCACCAGTCTGGGACAACTAATTTTAAACTGAGACTCTTCTTACCCTGATATAGTAGTATTCCTTCTCCTCTCCCACCCCACAATTTGTCTCTGGAGCAGGCACCAGAATAATGGGGTGGAGCAGATTGCGGATGTTGTTGAAGTAGACTGCCAAGTGCAGTCCAGCACCATGTGCCCGTTGCTGGCCATGGATCAAATAAAGTGGCAATCTGCCTTCTTACTGCTGTAATTGTTTTATCCTAAGCTGTGATAATGCCATGCTAGATATGCACTTGCTTCAGAAAGCACAAAGGCACGTAACTGCAATTGTCCCTGTACAGGAACATGGATTGCAGCATAGTCATGGAAAATGCAGACTAGGGGATGCAGGGAACTGAAGATGTTAAAATTCAGTGTATCAGCCATACTTAATAATCCACCTGCTCCTTGAACAGCAATCCCCCCAAAATACTGTCAGTCATAGATTTTATTTACTGCACGTATTTCACCTGGGAAGTGAATTTAAGTATTTTTGAGGAGATTTATATTTAAAGTTTGCTTGTTAAGCATGTTTGTTTCTGAGGCTGTATTTTAAGTCATCTTGTCTGATGAATTTGTATATGGAAGTGTAGCTTACCAAGTGAGATCAGTTTTTTTACTTGTAATTTTTTTCCTTTAATTTAATTTTTTGAAATGGAAAATTATGTGCATCTTAAGTCAATTCTCCATTGTTTTAATTATATTTGATTATTGATATTCTTAACATTGTTGCATGGGGGGGGACTGTGTTGCATGCAGCAGCTTACATAACAATCATTCCAAATTACATGTGGTGAGGAGAGGAAGTAGAAAGGTGTTACTTTGACAGAATGTATATTTTGTCAAAAGTTGCATTTGTTTGACCTATGTTACTACATTTGTAGACAGTGGTATGTTATCTTGATTTCCGCCTCCCTTTTAGACTCTACATTCCTCCATCATGTTATCGTTTCGTAAACTCAAAGTCCAGGTATTTCACAAAATGCATGTAGTGGAGTCACTGTTTCTTCATTTGCCTGCCTTTGTTGCAGTGATGACCTATTTGTACCAAAAAACAGCCTGTTTTGAGAGCTGTGTATGTGTATAGACTCTAGAGTGTAAAATACAGCATGACAAATATAGCAGTTGCTTTTTTGCACTCTGTGGAGTGGAGATAGTAATTTTTTTCTGTTTCAGACTTCATTTTCTTTTCCTTCCTGTGATGCATGGTGTGTGATCATTGTTCTGTCCTGATCATAGTTTTGTCTGATCTACTGTTGTTGTGGATTAACTTTTATAAAGTTTTATTTTGCTTTAAAGGGCTGTTGGCCAAGAAAATATTTTTGATTAC